ACGTCAGACAGTGGGATTGTGATAATGTCTTCGTTGTTGAAAGTCTGCCGCCCACTACAACAAGCACTCACGTTACTGAACCGTCAAGGCCACGCAGTGGGTGTATCATCTGTGTGCGTTTAGAGGATGACTTTCGGCTCTCCCATAGTAGAATAAGAAATACTTTATATTGCCAAACATTTCTTTTCTAAACAGCAAGTGTAACAAAAGATTTCATACACTAAGTGTGCACTAGGACCAGAATATCGCTATGATTTTCAATTCTTCAAGGCGATGCATAAGTGTCTCCATATGTTCTGCGAACCTGCGAAGAGTTTGCTACATCTCCACGGCAACGTGCGAGGCATTGCTTGAACGTTTTTTTATTGTGTGGGCTTTTGAAACACCCGCTTCTTTCGCAATCAGCATGTTTTGAGGCATGACGCGATTCTTCATTTCCACCTTGCATCATCGCACGCAATGAGGAGACACCTTAAACTACGCGATGCTCACATAGCATTTTCTTTTTAAGCAGTTTCAAACATGAAGTGTCCTTGTGGTAGAACGCCTGCTTGCCATGCTGACCGCCTTGGTTAGATTCGAACTATAACTGAATTTTCTTATCGTAAATTTTATTTGAAACTTTTCTGGATTTCTCGCTCATGGACAAGACGATGATTTTTCGCGCACTACCATCGACGCCAACACCGATATTTCTGCACAACAATCTCTATAGCACTATCACGATAAAATATTATTTACTTCATCTGAGGCTGGACGGCATAAACACAAAAATTATGAATATAATACTGATCCAACCATTCGTAATTCCCTCTCGCATTTCCCATCACTTCTAAACAGCACGTGAAGTATTGGAAAATTGGTAAATTAAAGATGTTTTGCATTTCTGGAATCGAAAATAAGGTATACAAGTATCGATTGATAAAAGAGTTTCGGGTAAATAACTTGAGCCATTCATCCGTTTAAGCATGACTGGTCATTTGGAACCTAATTACTTTTTTCGAAAACCAGCATGCATTAAGAAAAAGATTCTCATGCACAATGAATATAATTTACTGATGATCCGTCATGCTTGCCGTACTCGGCTGCTCATCCACAGGTCGCGGGACTGAATCCTAGCGGTGGAGGCTGCATTTTCGATGAAGGCGGAAATTCTGTATACGCCCGTGCGCTCTCATTTGGATGCACGTTAAAGAACCCCAAATGGTAGATATTTCTGGAGCCCGCCGCTACGGCGTCTCTTGTAGTCATATGGTGGTTTTAGGATGTTAAACCCCACATATCTATACATTCCGTGAAGGTTATGATAACGTTTCGGTGGACTATGTATTGATAGGTTTTTCAACAGCATTCGGCCATGTCGCCTTACAAATAAAAACTTTTTTTTTTGCTTTAATAGAATCCTAGTTCCCTGGCTTGTCATTGGACAAATAGTCATTCATGACACACCTCCTGTTACTGATGTTTCGCCTGGGGTTCCCTATTACTTCTCATATTCATTAGCGATTCACCATATGAAGTGGGTATATGTTGAGCAGGATAATTTATTCACCATAGCACACTTCAATGTGACCTCGATCGCATGCTTGAGTTTGAACACTAACAAATGCAAAAGCAAGACTCTTGGCCGCAAGCTCTCGAGGTCCAGCTTTTATATATTACAGGGATGCATTTCCAATAACGAATCGCTGCAAATATCTGCAAAGCCGCACAAGGCATTAGACTATCTATAAACATTATAACCTTCCCAGCACAGCCGCTCACACGCCCGACCAAACTATCAAGCAGCCACAGTTAGAAAAGGCATCTACCACCACGAGGATTATCTCAACAAATTCCTCGAATCTGTACACAATTGCATCACACGCTTCATTATTCATAACTATAACGAACTAATATAAAAATAAAGCAATCACTTCAACACTTCATTCTCGAAGGGAGGCTTCTGTAATCAGCTGATCACACAAGCACACTGGCGTAGCCAGGGGTGGAGTGAGAGAGGGGTTCAATTTTTCATGTGTATACATACAATCACACATATATACGAACACCCGCACGACCCCCTCCCCCTCCTTCTTCTTCTCATGCAAGAAATTGAATTCAACAGAACCTACGTATCTCTAACAAGACTTCCACAGTGGTATTTCGCACCACATTCCTAGCGACAAGAACTACGAATCCGGTATTCTGCGGGGTTCATGTCTGTATTATTGAAGACTGTTTTCTAAACTTACACTTCATGATCACATCGGTTCTTTTAAAGCCCGTCTTTTTGCAATATCCATTTCACCAGCCGTGCTCTAAACTCCTCAGATTTTTTTCTTTTTTGTTGTACACAGATTCCAATAAACTCTTCAACATGTGTTCTTTTTTGGTATCTACCAAACGATACGACTGCAAGTCATTTGGTTTTCCTAAAAATGACTTTTAAATATTGGTAGTCGCAGTCACAGCATGGAATGCGGGCCACCCTGTGTTACAACGCCACTATACTTCGCACGGCGGTGTGTCGAAAAGCGAATCGCGATCCTTCGACGTTTAAATGTTCGCTGTCTGATTCCAAAAAGCTGGCACAGCTCGACACAGCGTCGGATTACTCAGTCGGCTTTTGTTTTATAGCACCACTATCAGTCGTGAGCCAGATTAGAGCAAAACAGTGGAATTGTCTTTTAATGCGATGGCGTTAAAAAGCTCGTATCGCGAAAACTTCGGCGTTGGTGTTGGCATAAAATGATGATTTTTCGATCAAAACTAACGACGTCGACAACAACGCCGCTTCCGTTGATTGTGAGCGAAAAATCATCATATAATGCATGACCGAAGAATCGAGTAGCATGAAAATAAACTAATTATAAAAAAACCACACCATATCTACGGAGTGAATGATTAGGAGTGGGGCGATGCTTCGGAGGGTTTCACTGGTAAACCTCGAATCGTCCGTCCATCTGTCTGCGTCCATTTGTCCGTCCGTCCGTGCCTGCTGAGTGAGACATCGAACTAGGCGGTCACGTACGAGCTAGGTGGGAGAGACCCATGGCTTTAGGAGCTTCGTCCCTGAAAAACCCTGGGTAAGAGTGAGGATTGAACCCAAGTCGTTTGCAGAGCAAGAGAGTGTTCTACCACACTTTGACACCTCTTCTTGTGAATACATTGAAAATAACTTCCTTTTCTTAGAAATGCAGTGAAAGTAGCTTTCATGCTTCACAAACACACGCGTCCTGTATACATGCTTCACAATGCAACATGAAGTATTGCAGTAATATTGCATGGTACAGGCGCCCATTGAAATCGGGCGTCAGAGCATGCAATTATCATAATGACTTCGTGGTTGAAACTTAGTAACACGCTGCAAAAGGCAAACGCGCTACTGCACCTGTTTTCTTAAAGACCACTTAGTGTGTTCCTAGCAAGTCTGAAAAGGTGTCATGCAATAAAAGTTCTAAAAACGCACTAGGAACAGAAGATTGCTTTCCCGTTCAACTCCTAAACGAGAAGCTTTAGGGTCCCATAATTTTATGAGTTATAGTGACGAAATGTAGTTCTCGAGCACTAAAGCATTCTAACACTAAAGGCTCAAACCGAAAGGCATGCCACACAATAAACATGTTCCATAAATATCAGCACATTACAAGTAATCATCGAAGAAACACTAATTTTGTGGTGCCTCTCATATTGTTCCCGACTGTATAATGCTTTCTCTGGGTATGATGTCATCGCATGAAACACTGACGCGTTTTGGTTTTGATGCACCGTTTTTTAGTTATATAAAATATTGATGGGCCTATAAGGGAGTTGAACCACCCACGCTGGACTGGAAATGCCCTCTGAAAAGAGCATTATACAAATATAATCAAGATGCGCCGAAATTCCCGTTTAAGTGCACGCCGTATACGGCGTAGTAACCCTTCTACGAGTAAAGGCTGAAAAAACAAAGAACGGCGAGAAAGAAGCAGCCGCCCCGACCGACAGCGGAACCGGCCAGACTGCAATTCACGCGACCTCCGCGTTCACCGGTGGCGCTGCGTTCGTTCACCTCATCGGCCAAGGAGCGAAAGAATGCAAGGCGACTTCGCCGTGCGATGCTGGGCACATGCTGGGCAGCGGTTCGTAAGTACGCCTACTGTTGTTTACTGGGAATCAATTATTACTTGTGACGCACGACTTAAAGTTCTTGACCTTTTTTCCCCCTCGAAACAAAGCAAACTGCTGATTACGGTGGTTTTGTCGTTACGCCACTGTATTCGTACACGAAGCGTTGCTAGTAACAACATTGAAAAAGTATAGTTAAATGAAATAATCGGAATGCCATGTCTTCGGTAGAGAAAACCTTTACAGTGGAGATGTTCTAGCCAAGGTCGTCTGGTGAAAGAGAGGGAGCAGGAGGGAAGAGAGTTAATTATATCATAAACAGGCACAATTACTGTAGTATTGGAAGGAGGTGGGCAAAGGAGGCATAGATGAAAAGGAGAGTAAAGCATAGTACATCATAGCCACGTAGAATATAGCGCAGTGAGATGCAGGAGAGAGAAGTGAGGGTCAAAAGGCGAGAAAGAACGAGGGAGGGTATAGCGCAGTATAGAAGAGGCGAGTTGGGGAGGGAGGAGCTAAAAGCGGAGGATGTTCATTGAGTGCTACACCATTGCATGACTAGGCATTTCTTAGCTGAGGCTTCCGGATAATTCTGCTGTACAGGCGTTTGCGACGTTAAATAAAGTAATCTACGCTTGAGGTTTTTAGGCAGTAGACGGGTCCATTTCGCACGAGTTTCAGGTGCACACATTCGCGATATGGTTATCAAGCGCGTTGATGAATTCGCTGCTTAACACTGAATGAATTCACTGTTATCCAGCCTTTCTTTTGTTGTCCCATAAACGTATCAACGTCGTGCCTCCTGTTATCTGGCTCCAGTTGTACCTGTAATCGTTCCTTGACGCTAAATAACTAGGAATGAAGAGATTATGTGGATACTTGAGTCACTTTTTCTGTCCTTATAGGTGCTTGCCCGTGAGCATCGCAGTGGAGTCAAGCGACCATGAAGCCCCACTCGACGAGAGCTGCAACGTTGTGCTGCGCATGCATCCTCGCTCTTGGTGTGTTACAGAAACGTAAAGTGCATGTCACTGCATGGAGTCTGATATCTCCGCTTATTTCTCAAACTTGATAACCCACCGAAGGTTGCGAGATCACTACCGTTTCTTCACGCGCCAAAACCACGCGCTGTGATAGTGAGGCATGCCGTAGTGACGACTCCGGGTTAATTTCGTCCGCTTGGGGTTCTTTAACGTGCCCTTGAAGCTAATCACACCGGCGTTCTTTACGTTTCACCCCCAATCGAAATGCCGCCGCTGGCACCGGGAATCGGACACCGACCCTTGAGCATAGCAACGCGATACCTTATACATGCTAAGCTACCACGGATGTAAAATCACGGAGTGGAATCCTGGCCGCGGCAGCCGCATTATGAGAGTGGCAAAAGCTAGAGGCCTGCCTGGTTTTGTTGGGGCGCTCGTTGAAGTGTTCGAAATTTCCAGGGCCCTCCAGTATATATGCTGTCTCCCACGATTGTCTGGCGGACTGAACGCGATAGAGCTTCGCATAAATTACGCTGTTGGTGTGCGCGTCAGCGTCATTGCTTGTGAGCGAAAAAAGTTAACGTTGTCCGTGAGTGAGTTTCAGAGATGTATGTATATAGATAATAACAAACTTCGGTTGAATTGGGTTGCAGATCTTTTGCGCGGCAAGCAAGTGTTTTACCGCAGAGCAACACCATTGCTTAGAACTGTTTATGAAAACAAAGCCTATATATAGGAATTTCGTACTATTCGAGGAGTCAAATCAAAGTTCTGTAGCAGAAGCGTACAATCGCACTAGGCTTTAACAATCGCACCAAACATCAATTGCACAACACATGAAATGTTTAAAGGCACACCCATTACAAAGCGCTCAGCCATAATCAATCATCATCAGCAGCATAACCATAAACTAATGCAGCAGCTGCGTATAGGTACATATACATGCATTGTCTTATAGATGCGTAGTGCGTGCTTCGCTGATTGGCAAAAAAAAGAAAAGAATAATTATGGCGTAGTGGGCACTTAACAACTGGGCTCACAGTAACCATTCCAGAAAAACTTCAAGTGGCCACTCTTAATTGTATAATCGTTCGCAGTAGCCACCGAAGAAAAACTCTAAACGGACAATCTTATTCGCATAATCGTTCCTTTCCTTACGGCACAGTGCACCGTGAACAGAAGCATGGTTATCGTTGCAGAAGGCGATGTGAACGGTGTGTAGTTACAGATTGGCGTTCTAGCGTAGAGACGAATGTCAAGTGTGCTCCAAGGTTTTGGGGCGCAAAACTCACTGAATCAATAATTAAGAAACATCTTTATTATTAGTTAGTCTTTATCTTTATCTTAGTTCATCTTTATCTTAGTTAGTATGCATGTGGGAGGTAGTGGCGAGATACTGAACCAGGGTGGCCAATCCTTCTCTGGTGAGGGAGTGCATTCCCGGCGGTGGTTACCGGTGAGGCCGCACCCCAGGCCTCTTAATGCAGTTCCATCAACACGCGTATTTTTTTTTCCGGTTTGGAACTGCGCGGCACCGCGATTTGAACCACGGACCTCTTGCATGTGAGGCGGATGCTCTAACCACTACGCCATCGCCGCACACATCATTGGAACCTGAACGTGGCAACATTTAACACTAGAACCTTATCTAGGGAGGGAAGTCTAGCTGTACTATTCGAGGAGCTAGAGGGTGTTAAATGGGATATAATAGGGCTCAGTGAGGTTAGGAGGACAGATGAGGCCTATACTGTGCTACAGAATGGGCACGTCCTTTGCTATCGGGGCTTGGCAGACAGAAGAGAACTGGGAGTGGGGTTCCTAATTCACAGAAACATTGCTGGCAACATAGAGGAATACTATAGCAATAATGAAATGGTGGTAGGTATTGTAATTAAACTGAATAAAAGATACAAGATGAAGGTAGTACAGGCATACGCGCCTACATCCAGCCATAATGACGCTTCAGTGGAAAGCTTCTATGAAGACGTGGAATCGGCAATGAGTAAGGTAAAAACACAGTATACTATAGTGATGGGTGACTTTAATGCAAAGGTAGGGAAGAAGCAGGCTGGAGACCAGGCAGTAGGAGATTATGGCATCGGCACTAGAAACGCCAGAGGAGAGCTACTAGTAGAATTCGCAGAACGCAATAATTTGCGGATTTTGAATACCTTCTACCGAAAACGAGAAAACCGCAAGTGGACATGGAGGAGCCCTAATGGCGAAAATAAGAACGAAATAGACTTTATAATGACTGCACACCCAGGAATCGTGAAGGATGTGGAAGTGGTTGGCAAGGTACGATGCAGTGCACCATAGAATGGTACGGTCTCGAATTCGCCTAGACTTGAAAAAGGAACGACAGAAACTGATACGCAAGAAGCCAATCAATGAGCTAGCAACAGCGAGAGGGAAAGTACAGGAATTCAGAGTGTCGCTGCAGAACAGGTACTCGGCTCTTAGTGAGGAAACCAACCTTAGCGTAGATACAATGAATGATAATCTGACGAGTATCATTACGGAGTGTGCAGTGGAAGTTCGAGGCAGGGTAGTTAGACAGCACACTGGCAAGCTTTCCCAGGAAACGAAGAACCTAATTAAGAAGCGTCAAATCATGAAAGTCTCAAGTACAACAGACAAAATAGAACTGGCAGAGCTTTCGAAGTTGATTAATAGGCGTAAGGTATGCGATGTAAGAAGGTATAACATAGAGAGAATTGAACACGCTCTGAAAAACGGAGGAAGCGTCAAAGCAGTGAAGAGGAAACTTGGGATAGGCAAAAGTCGAATGTATGCACTAAGGGACAAAAAAAGGCAAAATAACTACCAATATGGATAGGATAGTTAAAATAGCGGAGGAGTTTTACAGAGATCTGTACAGTAGCCGAGACAACCACAACCTTAATACTATAAGAACTAGCAGTAACCCAGATGACACCCCACCAGTAATGATAGAAAAAGTCAGAAAAGCTTTGGAAAGCATGCAAAGAGGCAAAGCTGCTGGTGGGGATCAGGTAACATCAGACCTGCTGAAAGATGGAGGACAGATTGTGTTAGAAAAACTAGCCACCCTGTTTACGAGGTGTCTCCTGACGGGAAGGGTACCAGAGTCTTGGAAGAACGCTAACATCATCTTAATACATAAGAAAGGAGATGACAAGGACTTGAAGAATTACAGGCCGATCAGCTTGCTCTCTGTAGTATACACGCTATTTACAAAGGTAATTGCTAACAGAGTAAAGAAAACATTAGAATTCAATCAACCAAAGGAACAAGCAGGATTTAGAACAGGCTACTCAACAATTGACCACATTCATACTATCAATCAGGTAATAGAGAAATGCTCAGAGTATAACCAACCACTATACATAGCCTTCATAGATTACGAGAAGGCGTTTGATTCAGTAGAAATATCAGCCGTCATGCAGACACTGTGGAATCAGGGCGTAGATGAAGTATATATAAACATTGTGGAAGAAATCTACAGGGGATCAACTGCTACCATAGTGCTTCATAAAGAAAGCAACAGAATACCAATCCAGAAGGGTGTAAGGCAGGGGGACACAATCTCCCCAATGCTATTTACCGCGGGCTTACAGGAGGTTTTCGGAAGCCTATAGAATGGGAACAGTTAGGGATAAGAGTTAATGGAGAATACCTTAGTAACTTGCGCTTCGCCGATGACATTGCATTGCTGATTAACTCAAGGGACGAATTGCAACTCATGATTACGGAGTTAGACAAGGAGAGCAGAAAGATCGGTCTTAAAATTAGTCTGCAGAAAACGAAAGTAATGTACAACAACCTCGGAAAGGAGCAGTGCTTCGAGATAGGTAATAGTGCACTTGAAGTTGTAAAAGACTATGTCTACTTAGGGCAGGTAATAACCGCAGAGCCTAACCACGAGATTGAAGTAACTAGAAGAATAAGAATGGGGTGGAGCACATTTGGCAAGCACTCTCAAATTATGACAGGTAGATTGCCACTATCCCTCAAGAGGAAGGTATATAACAGCTGTATCTTGCCGGTACTTAGCTACGAAGCAGAAACCTGGAGACTTACAAAGAGGGTTCAGCTTAAATTGAGGACGACGCAGCGAGCAATGGAAAGAAAAATGGTTGGTGTAACTTTAAGAGACAAGAAGAGAGCAGAGTGGATTAGGGGACAAACGGGGGTTAAGGATATCATAGTTGAAATAAAGAAGAGGAAATGGACATGGGCCGGGCATGTAGCGCGTAGACAGGATAACTGCTGGTCATTAAGAGTAATTAACTGGATTCCCAGAGAAGGGAAGCGGGTTAGGGGGAGACAGATGGTTAGGTGGGCAGATGAGATTAAGAAGTTTGCGGGTATAAATTGGCAGCAGCAAGTACAGGACCGGGTTAACTGGCGGAACATGGGAGAGGCTTTGTCCTGCAGTGGACGTAGTCAGGCTGATGATGATGATGATGATGATGATGATATTAGCCAACCACTTTATTCGGTGTTCCTATTAGAAGTTAAAGTGGGCGTATCATGAAGGTCACAATTTATCAAGGTATGCGTTCAAAATGGACTTTCCAAGTCTACCGGCGTGTATATCTCTGGAGAATGAAGGGATGTTTGAACAAGTTTCTCCGAAAATACTGAAAATAAAGGCACATTTGCGCACTGCCTTCATCATAATTTTTTTTTATAACGGGAGATATCCTAAGAGTGACCAATACTGAAAGTAATGAAAGAAATACTACATATGCGCTCTCACCAAGCGCAGAAAGGTGGTGTCGGTATACGAAAGAAGTATTTCCCGCGAAGAGCCCATTCCCACTTTTAGAGTTCAAAAATGCGGCCTCTGTTGCGGAGTTACGAATATTCGACCAAATCTTCCGCCAATTTTCCGCGGAAACGGAAGCTCAGATGACGACCTTTGTCAGACGGCTAGAACGACGTCATTTTTCACAAAAACAATTTAATTGTGCTGGTTCTTCTTCATCGTTAAAGGACTGGCGCAATGCGTTCTATAATCGCAAGCGCAGCTTGCAAACTCATGAAGCGATGTTTATCTATGGTTTATATAACTATTCTTACTGATTCTGGATGTACTGGAGTCATATGTTAGTTACGCTGCCTCACGTATCGGTTTCGCCGGAGAAAGCGGTCCGATTTCCTGATTACCAGTGGCCGCACTTCGTAAATCACAAAGCGGCAAACGGGCTTTTTGCAGGAAAGGCTCCAACTTGCAGTAGTATTTTACCGCAAGTTACCTGCAAGATAAGAGAACGAAGCAGAAATGCCGAAAACAGCGTCAGGGTACCTGTCTTCCATCTGGCTCACAACCATTTTCACCGGCGTTCACGATTCGCAGAAGAAAGATTACGACACGCGCTGTGTTTACAGTGCAATGGTCTCGGAAGGTGATCGCTAAATGATGAACACACCGATGGAAACCTATATGATGGCGACACGGATGTGGTGAAAGAAGTGAAACTCACTCTGTGCAGGAATGACTGAAGCTCACATCGTTCACACCGTGCTGGACAAGAGCCACCGGCTGCTGCTGAACATGGCGGCCAAGATGCCAAACTTAGTGCCCCGCATGGACGCCCAGGAGTGCCTCAAGAGGACCATCTGCGAAGCGCATAACAAGCCCGGACGGTATGGGATCATCGGCGTCGCGCTACAGCTCTTCTTCCCGTGAGTCCATCTTTGTATACTGCCGCAAAAAAGAAAGAGAAGACGAGCCAAAATAATATTTGCAATGCTCATGAGTATTACTAAAACATGTGGTGGTCCTGAAACTCTCTTGAACATTATGTACTCGTGTCACATCTTGGTCATCTTTTTTCAAGCTTTCTTATCACAACATTCACTGCGATGCTGGTAAATTTCTTTTAATACAGTCAAACTTACTGAAAGCGAACTTCCCAACACCATAAAAAAGGAAGTCGGATATAGGACGATTCGATATCCACATTTCAAAGAAATTATTGTATTCCCAATGCGAATTCTGGTGCGCAAGCTTGCTTCATTGCCCCGCTAGCTATGCTGTAATGAAGACTCCTACACGGCAATAACGCGTTTTCGTTTTAAGTTTGTATTTTTTCGCGATTTGTAGTTGCGCAGTTGCGGTTGCGAGGTTATATGTTGGAGTGGATTATACGCTGCCAAAATGAGGTATTCCTGTAACTATCACTGCAAAATCTTCTTACGCATTTGTGTGTATATAGTCCTCGGGTGCAGGAAGCCTCCGGGTCACAATAGTCGGATGCCGGCTTCGTTTTTTCAATATCGTACTCAGTATGTTTAGGATGCTGTACATACCAGTCACATATGGTGTCTATTTCCTCACGTTCGACCGGTAAGTGAACCACCCGACCTGAAACGCCCGAAAAATGGTGGCCGCACCGCCGAAAATGGTTGCCGTTCACTTCGAATGAAGTGGCCGTGCGTTTTTGAGCTTCGTTAGCTCCACAATGATGTTTGTATTTGCTTTACATTTCCATATTCTTCAAGCTTGGACAGCGAAGTATTCATGTCTATGCAGTGCGGTTACCGAGAGTCACAGTCGAACAATCAGCGATGAACATGTGCGCGCATCGACCAACTTTGGAATGCGTAAAGTAGGCAAATGAAGAGAAAAAAAATTTAGACAACAAACTAGCAAGTTTTCACTGACGCCCTCTTACTTTCCCAAAAATACTTGAACCAGGACCGTAAAGTGTGTTGAGCAGAAGGCGTACATATCTCTAAAAGGCTTCTCCATGGACACTGAACGAGATAAGCGCTGGTGATGAACAGCCTGTGTTACTCTATACGAAATGATTTGTTAATCCATGCACTGTGGGAATAGCTTTGGTATAAACTTGTGCATGCGAACGTCATATTGCAATGCGAACGCCTGCACGCGTGCTGTACATTACCATGTCGTGTTACTCGGTGTTTCAGCTTGCAGCAACTACACATCAGAGGCTCATGGGACGGCCGAGTGCTCTCCCTTGGTAGAGTACCAGGTACTCTAAATCATTCACCAGTTTTTTTTTTCTAAACACAGTATGTTTTTTTTCTTCGCTAGTTCATTTTAGTTTCAGGGTAACAATTCCTTTCGCTGCAGAACTTACGCAAATGGTGTAGACAAAATGATATATCTGCAGCTCCCCACAGCAGGCCAGTTAAAAGAATACAAAGCAGACAAACTTGGAAACAATGCTTGATCTTAGCGTGCATAAGAAGTACATGCGCTACGTGACAAGCTCACAGAAGCCACTAATGGTAACACTGTGGTATGGGGGGGGGGGGGGGACAACAGTTTTTGTACTAATCACCTCAGACCAAACATGAACAGTGGCAAGCATTCGCCATGATATGGTGCGCGCCGTTCAATCATCACCCTATAGCCAGGCGCGTATATGTGCACATGCTGCCAAGTCAGATGTGTGCGCCTGTGACTCCTAAAAACCGGAGGGTGCGCGTTACCATTGCGCCAACAGTACACAAGTTTGCAAACTATAAGTGGTACCTTATTTGTTTCATTTAAACAGGCCATTTCGACCGGGTGACGCCGAAGGTATGCCGTCGTCACCATTACAGCTGGCGGCGCGTTACGGACGGGAACCGACCGCTGACTGCGGCAGACAGTACGACGGCTGCTTCCTGGACCCGCTGCAGACGCTACAGGCTGCTGTGGACTACTTCCTGCGCCGACCGGCTTATTCGGGGCTTCTCGGCAGCAGCACCCAAAAGCCCGCTATCGTCTGGGGCAGGCCGGTAATCGAGCCCATCACTGCCGACAGGAGGAGAGATGCACTCAGGCAGCAACGTATCGTGCTCTTCGACAGAAGACGAGGGTTGGCTCGTGGCACGAGTGATGGGTCCACGTCGTCACTGCACTGCCCTCGGTGAACCACCGGTTGGAGGTTGCGCAAACGTTATTTGTCCGCCTAACTTTCACGTGTAATTCATTCAGTATCGGTGTGTTGAGTTGTGGTGTTACAACAGCCGTTCGCCGCCTGAACTGATTTACCTTTTAATCTTGGTTTACTGTGCCATGGATCTGACACGAGCAGCGCGGAATACCCACCCGCAGAGCTCATGTATTGCGCCGACCTCGAATAGGCGAGTTGTAAAAACTAGGAATCAACAAAAGGTGTTTTTTTTTCAAAGTGCTCGTTTTTTTACAGGTACAACCGAATCAATCCAACAAACAGTTAAATCAAAGAAAGCACATGGAACATCAATTCTCGTTATTTTAGCTGTAATGTAGCAGTTATGAGGTGGATAGAAATGATTTAAAGTGAAAGAGAAAACACCGTTTTTCTTGGTAGGATCAGAGCCTACAAAATTCAAATCGTGCAGGTGATGCCACGACGGAAGATGCTACCCCGCTCACTTCGCACTAAGCAGCTAAAGCACTGCTACTTTACCTTAAGTCCACAAACCTGAGCGACCGCCTGTAGACTGTGTGTGCTCCCCGAGTGTGCTCGTGATTGTGTGTACCTTCTCATCTTTCTGCAACCTCTTTTCTCCCCTTTATCCCTTCCCCAGTGCAGGGTAGCAAACCGGATGTGCGTCTGGTTAACCTCCCTGCCTTTCCTTGCATCTTTATCTCTCTCTCTCTCTCTCTCTCTCTCTCTCTCTCTCTCTCTCTTTGTACGCCAAATTCAGGTATGTGTCAGCCGGCGGCTTTCGTAGCCTAGGCAGCGAGTAAAACATTTGTACACTTTAATTCATTTCCTGTTACATCATAATTGCTACACTACAACTGAAAGAAACAAAACAAGGCTTAACGTCACTTATGCTTTCCTCTGTATAACTGCCTGTTCGATTCACCTCGTCGTCTAACACAAACAAGAACGCCGCTTTCATGCACAGCAAGTATTCACGCGCAATGGCATTTCATTTGTTCCTTGCTACAATTATTGCCTGCAACCTATATACTGTACTAGAATAATGTCCTAGTGGCACGTCCAAGATGGAAACACAATAGGGAGGCTGAATCAAACGCGAAGGCCGCCGTTGGTGGTGCTGCTGTGCCTTCAAGCAGTGGCGAGTCACGCCGCATCATAAACGTGCGGCTGCTTGATACATGCACTTCCCACGTCTTCTTATATTCAACGCCATTTTTATTGGGCAAAATGGAGGAGCATTTGACGACTACGTCTTTTTTCATGAACTACAGCCCAGGAACTACAGCTTTGTCCACAAGCATTGACAACTTATGCGGTGCCAAAAAAGAAAAAAAAACTAACATATCGTTTCAACACGTATATTATAGTTCATCGCAGCAAGTTGCACCCAGAAGCTTTTCGGTTCCAGTGTGAATTTCGTGATGAGGTAGCAAATTTAATCTACAGGATGTGGGCATGTCTTACTGAGTACGATAGCTCGCGCACTCCAGAATGCTGGCCATGCTCCACGGCCCAGACCTCAACATCCAGCAAATCGCCCCCCCGCGGTGGCTTAGTAGGTAAGGTACTCGGCTGCTTACCCGCAGGTCGCAGGATAAAATTTCGGCTGCGGCGGCTGCATTTTTGATGGAGGTGGAAACCCTGTAGGCCCGTGTACTCAGACTAGGGTGCACGTTAAAGAACCCCAGGGGGTCGAAATTTCCGGAGCCCTCCACTACGGCGTCTCTCAAAATCATATGGTGGTTTTGGGACATTAAACCCCACATATAAATCAATTATCAATAAATCAAATCAACGTCCGGCAAATCATCATTCAAGCCCTTGATGAAGCCTTATCTCAAAGGATTCAAGCCTCGGTTGTCGAAACATGAATTTAGATAGCCCATAGACTGTCTGAATCTATTTTTGTAAGGGGCGGCTAGGGGCAATGGGGGAGATGTACGTTCTTCTGATGTTCATTGACTGATGTTTTCATAAAGGTTTTTCGCTCGCTCTCTCGGTGAACAGGTAGAATGCAGACAGTACTTCATATGTTCTAGTTTTAGTCAAAGCTATGTAGCGACGTTAAACTTGCCGGCGCTGATCCCAATGAATGATGCAAGTCTTAGCTATGATTCTATAGTTGTCAGCAGAACTGAGACATTTATGTGTAGTAGGCTTGAGGTTTCGAAAAGCTGCGCACAGAAGCTGCCAGGCGAAATGTACATTATTAAAGCAGAATGACGTATTTCGGCTTTATTATGTTACATTAAGTGACAAAGGGCCCGTTATGCATACTGTTTTAAAGCAATAGCAATTCTTCGATGTTACATTGATGAGATTGCGGCATATTAGGCATACAATTTTCTTTTACATCTTGTGCTGAAGTCATGCTTTGCTAGGGTTCGTAATCACATGACACCCGTGTAACATAAAAAAAAAACAGGCTGTCTTGTTGATACTTAGCTTGATTATTCATATTTAGATGCCGTTTCTGTATGAATTCTTGCTTCCGACATAATGAGATTCACACATAGAAGTTAACTTCATCGCGCTTGGCATATTGCCTGAACAGAGGACGTGTCATCTTCTAAGGATGAACTAGCAGATACCATTTTGAGCTTCCTGCAATTAAGTATTGTAAAATCATACAATGTTCTCATTATTTGTTTTGTATATTGCTGTCCTTTGTTATTTGACTAAGTATTATGTAGTGCCTCCATGGGTGATTAGAGTTAAATAAATAAATAAATAAGTCTCACACGCATGACACTAAATTATTTAAATTCTCGCTAGCTAAACCCCGAATGCCCTGAAAATTTTGCGAAGATGCACTGTAACTTTTAATTAGGCTGACGTCGTATCTAGTCTGTAACTTATGAGAAACAGGGCACGTACAATCATGTACAATCTGAGTCAATATCCGAAGGCTCCAATTTATTGCGAATATAGTGCGGGAGCTAGATCATCAAGGGTAAATGTTCCCACCTGGGCTGCAATGCAGGATGGCCCGAGCTTCTCGGGCAGCCGAGTTTGCTCTGATCTCAGTTGCGGTGGCCGTGGCATGAAGACAGTGAGGAGCGCGTGATAGCAGCGTTGATAAATATGGCTACGCGAACGCGCGTGGAGTCAAAAACGCATGTGGGACATTTGCGGTGGATATCAAAAGAAAGACCGCGTGCGAGCACGTCAGCGCCGCCACACACTCGCCATTTTAGCAGTGCAGTGACGTCAGCGTAAATGCCGTGCAGCGTTTTTGCCAACAAAACACGCACCTCTCACAGGCGTCTTCGTGGGCGCATGTCCTCTTTCACACGCGTTCTTTCATTCCACCTGCATCATGGAATTTTCCACTCTCGAAGCCAGCAAGGGTGCACGCGCAGCCCTCTCGTTCTCCTCGTATCGCCTCTCTCAAATATTGGAGATGTATGAAAGAACACGTGGTCACAAGCATAGAGTTTTCTAATGTACACTAGAGGAAACTCTGGCGCTAGTGTCTAAGGGAGCTGCAACGCTCGGCGCTTCAGCGAGCATGAGAAGGATGGGTAGTACACACATTTGTCTAATAATATTCGTACTTCTGACCTGCTTTTGGTTCCGTGTGTGTTCGTGTGACTTGGCGCTGTTTTCTTGCAAAACAAATATCAGCAAACGTTCAGTGGTTGCGCTTCACCATCTTATTCTTTTAAACTTACCTTTCGAAATCGGGTAACGAAGTTCAAAAGGGTTGAATCTTTCTTTCAAAACAAAACCGAAACACAGCAATAAACGAAGCCGCAAGTACAATTCGCCGTCCACAAGTACGAAGACTAAGCGAATGTGTGTACTACCCATCAATCCCATTGTCGCTGAACGATCACAGCGCCAGAGTACACTCAAGTTAATTTTAGGAAACTCTGTGGTCACCAGGGGTGCGCGCGTCATGGCAGCAACGCGGCTGTGATTGGATACGCCGTGAGCGTGGTGAAATTTAACGCGCGACATCGTAGCCGCGCGGTTATATCATTTTTATTTCTGCATGCGTATGTGCATAGTCTGCGCAATAAAGCTGACAGATTAATCGTACCGCTCGACGTGCTCCTCGGCAAGAGCAAACGTGGTGCGTACCCGATCATCGGCGCGGGCGCCTGTCAATCAAACTGATTGACGCGTGAACTCGGATACAAACTCGTTGATTTCAGAAGGCCCGAGTTCAACTCGGGACGGTGATGGGGCCGGAGTCAAGCGTTTGATGCCGTGAACGCTAAGCGGCAGGTTCTTTGCATATAAAGTAATTCGGTGAGCTTACACTACTTGTGTAAGGCTGGAGCCAAAGAGCAGCTTGTGGTAACATAGCTTCTTGCAGCTTTTTGAGTTGTTCGTCTACTCATGCACGTGCTTGGCTTCGAAGTGAAGGCCGCATTAGCTCTGTCTTAATTTTGATTGTACTAATTTATTTATTTATTTATTCATTTTACCCTCAGGGTACACAGTCTTAACGACCACACAGTCTTATTTGACTCAGTCTTAACGACCATTACACTGAGCTGTCTTCTTGTCTTGATAGATATGGCTTCAATAAAATCAATTTTCTTAGGCGCAATTAGCAATGTCATGATCAGTATGAAACTAAAACGTAATCACGATTAGCATGATACTAATGGTCATCATATCAGTAAGAGTTAATCAGCTTGGTGTTACTTAGTGTACTCAGGATTAACGTCGCGTTAATGAACATAGTTTAGTTAGCTCATCACCTAGCATGGTTTAGTTAGCCCGGTTCTAGCTTCACATGACTTCATCTGCACGGTCTTCTTAAGATGTGGCTTAAGTACCTCGGCCATACCATGACATGGCGTAATTAGCTTGGTCATAGCATGTCCTGGCCTAACTAGCCAAGTATACCATCCAGCCAAAGAGCTAATTAGCCGGCCGCACGTGCTCGGATGCTAGCAGCCAATGACAACAAAGAGGTCGCGCCCCGACCGAGCAGCGCGCTAGATTGTAGTACAGGCTGACCTACACGTGGCCTCGCCGCCTTG